TATTTGCCTCAGTTGAACTTCAGACTCGAATCTGTATTTTCAACAGTTCATGGGTGTACCAACTGAGCGGGGSCAGCRGGTTCTTTGCCTGGCCAATCCTGGTACTAGATGCAGAAGTCACCACAGTCCCCCTCCTGCCCGGGTTTGGCCTCACTGTTGTTCAGTAAGACAGCTCCACAGCTCCAGCTACCCCGAGGGAGACCTACTGAGAGAACCTGCTACTTGGCGGTCTGGCTAGCCTTCCGCCCTATACCTAGGTCTATGGTTGGCAGCGGTATKGCTGCAGGCCCCTGCTGACACTCCYTGTGGCACCGCATGGCCCCGTCACAGTTCACCATCTTGTTAGTCCCACCGRGAACGCTCACACTGCGACTCCAGACCTACGAAAAACGCAGATTTGGAATAGGCCGAACTTGAGGTTTTCGGGCATGGTTTAGACCACACTACCGTACCTTCTCAAAGGGGACAAGGCCTCGCCTGTCTGCAGCAATGGCGGATCGGTACTTTGCTGGTCACACGGTGCCACTCACAGACCGTGCGCAAGAACTCTTCGGGAACGAGAGAGAAAATAAATAAATAAATAAGTAAATAAAATAAAATAAGTAAAATTTTAAAATAATAGCTAGGAAAACGGATCGGGGAGGGGACCGTTGGCACTTGGTCCTACCTCGCGGGCCCGCTGCTGGACTTCCCAACAAAACCAAGGGGGATAGTCCCGCGGGACCCTCAACCCCTTGGTTCACTCCATAGCGCTCCTCCACCGCTCCGCTGCATGCTGCTGGACTCAACCTTGGGATCCTCCTGGTGACAACTCAGTGACGTAACCTATAGGGCTAAGCCCAAGCCTGGAGGCAACAGGCTCAGTTCTCTATATGAAGAGTAACTGCATCCTGCCCAGGCCTGCAAGGGTATGCCAAGGCCACCACTTGGCTTATTCCCAGAACCCCTGGCTTTGAAATGTCGCGTTCTGCTGCCTCAAGGGTAAGCGTTGCTCGGCCTACCACGCGCGTCGCCCCTTCATGCCGCGGTCGCGGCCCGAGGCTCTCATAGCCTGCCGCGACCAACCCTTTTGTCGCCGCTTTGCCGGAGAACCCCGACTTTTGTCCCTACTAACCCAGTTCGCATCATTTTCCCTCTCACTCCTCCGACGGCTCCGACCCCTGCTCGTATACAGTTGAGCTTAGTGTTTACGCACTCCTTACCATGCGGTCTTTAAAATCCCGTCTTTCAGTGAGTCAACGAAAACTTTCTTCTAGTCGTAGACCCATTGACCAACTCTGCGTTGACTGTGACTTTGTCAGCGGGCGCGAGGTTGCGGCCTACTCAGCCTTGTCCGAGTTTCCAACTTACTTCTATCCTAGACTGGCGGTGGTTAGTTGTTTATGCTAAATAGCTATTTGACTGAACTCACACATGTCCACAACGTGCATGCTCACACACTCTCTAATCAAATTATGCATGCGTCTGCCACTTCCGTCTTCAAGGAGTTAGTTGCGGCTGGACGAAACACACGCCACTCTTTCAAATATCATCTTAGTCGCCTTTTCTGTGAGGTGCACAAAACATGCACAATTACCCTTGTAAGGGTATTGGTGCCGACAGTTTTCCGGACCCTATTAAGCGACGCCCCCGTCGCGTCGGACAATCAAAATTTTAAATTCAACAAAATCACATCTGCTGACGAGGAAGTAACCAATCCGATTAGTCGGCTTGACTCCGTTCGAGGCATTCCATCAATCTACCCCCGTCACGGTGTTCCACTGCCAGGGTTTCAACCTGGGTCTCCCACGTCTTGGCCTCGGACTCTGGGGATACTTTGTTCCGTACTACAGTGTAATGCCCGCTCCCAGGTAGTAGCTTGATMGTTCTCTCCCTTTGCCTTAGACATCTGTCGGTTCACCGTTGGGTGTCCTGTTTAGTCATCGTCCTGCAAGCAGGGTCATAACTTAGGACGCGGGCCCTAACCGAGACCTCTCTCAAATATGGGGCACCTATAGTCCCCAAAATGGTAGTTAGTACCATATCAAGTACCCACTTATAATGAACGCCCAACCTGGAGTCTAACACAGGCGGCTTCTAGGTCTCCATCCTGACCCACCATAGTCTGGTTGATCGAGCCAGATCTACGGCCTACCGCGTTGTTATATTAGCGGCAGTGCCCTCGTTGGTTGTGCAACGATAAGCAGTTTTATATATCTTGGCACCCCGAAGGGTCCCGACTCTTGACCTAATCGACCCCAATGRCTTTCCTCCTAGCTAAACCTCTCTGGGTGGCCGACCCTTCAAGACTTAACCATTGGTAAGCCATGGTCCCGCTGCCAGGTTGTGCCGGTCAGCGGCCCTCGCTGGGAGTTAGGTCCTACAGTTCCWGCGATGCTAAGTATAGCCCCTTAGCCTGGCCTCACAAAATATGTCCCTTAGACTGACTTCATTGTGGTCTGGCATTCTCTCTCAAAAACTTTCATCATAACCAAAGGATCACGTACAAGCTGCCCACGGGACTACGTGGAGGGATAGCGCCTTTCTTAATATTCCAACAAAACACTCAATAAACTCACAAGGTCGTGTCTCCCTTGCTTTGATCAAGGAAGGTGAGGTCACACGTCTTAGGGACATCTCTCAAATGTTTTCCAGAGTTCCATCTCAATTGCCAGAAGTTTTCCATTCATAATTCTCACAAAAATTTTGGCCTTTCCTCGTCAGACTTACAGACATAAAATTTTCTCATCGTTATAGCATCTCATTCGAGTGCTCTCTCATAATATCACTTTTATATAAAGAAAAACCCTATCGGCCATTGAGTTTCCTTCTCTCGCTTTTGAAYCACACACAAAACACAACTTTAGTTGCGACCGTTTCATTTGTCATCACTCATGCCCTTACAAATTATGACACGAGTCTTTCCTCTCAAACAGACGTGAGGTGCACTCTTTTTCCCTGTACTTATGACTTCGTCTGTTAATGTAATATGTATGCCTAAGTATAGAGGAAGATAGTGCAGATCAGGTCATTTTACAACATTTACTTCATCACAACAAACATTCCTATGAGCAAGTCCACGAACTGAGAGTGAGTGTGACACACCACACAAAAAGAAAGAAGTCTGAGACTCGCATATGCACACAAAATATGGGGCCTTGCAACAATCAAAGGCGCCCGTCCATATCGAAACGGTCAAGGTGTCGTACAAAGGATCCAAGTATCACACAAAGAGTCCGGGTATCGTACCAAGTGTCACAATACTCAACAAAGAATCAGAGTATCCGAACGAAGTGTCAAAGTAAAAGTCAAGGTAAAAAGAAACCAGGATCTCACACCGCTCTGAACGAGAAAGAATCATAAACTCACACAAAAACACTATCTAAGAACACTTCACACCACACTGAAAAAATGTGAAAGTAAAAATGAGAAAATCAGTGTCACACTCAATACCATCCTAGGTACAACTAAGCCTGAAAGTCAATATGCGAAAGTAAACATCTCAGTAATGACTCAACTAACTAAGCCTGAAGATCAATACAATCATCTATCAGTAGTGATTTAGAGATGCTTTATACTTGTCAGAATCTAGACATTTTCRGACCCTATGAAAGAACCCTATCCCTGATCACTCATGTCCTCCTGCAACTGCTTATACAACTGCGCCCATATCCCATCACGAGTCTTTAGGATCAGGTTCCCATACTTATCCCTACGTACCCTAGACGGATCCCAAGAAAACAAGCCATTCGCCTCATCCTTGAGGCTTTTGGGACAGGTCTCTTGTGGGTGCTTGCCCTTCTTGCAGTAGAAGCATCTTCCAAACTTCTTCTGCTCCATCTTGTCAGCTCCTTGGGAGGGCACAGATGAGGGGACTGTTGTAGCCTCGCTCGTGACCTCCTGCTGTGGATGCTAAGGAGGAATGGGGCATGCTGCTCTGTCATCTGTCTGCGCCACCYGCTCACTCACTCGCTCCTCTGCCCCGGATCCAGTGGCCCGAGATCCCAGCGCCTCCTCCAGACCTGCAACCAGAGGCATATCCTGAGGTGGTGGGGTTTTCTGAGAAACCTCCAGATCCTCCCCTACCTCAGCCTCAACCTTGGCCTGTCCCACACTCTCCTGAGCCTCCTGCTGCCCTACAGTTTCTCTCTGAATCGTAGGTGGTGCAGCCTCATCCATGTTGGCCTATGTTGGTGGCCTCACCCCTGGCCTCACTAGTCCCTGCTCGTGTGCCAAGACGGTGGGCATCCTCCACTCAAACTCTCCTGCTTCTAAGTCCCTTCCTGCTAGTGTCTCTTGTGGCTCCAACATCTTCTTATCCAGCAGAGGGATTTCCTCACCCCTTTGCTCGTTTGCCCTYTCTTCCACCTTCTGACTCTTGAAGGCCTCCTCTGCAGGCTGCTTCCTGATTTCAAACCCCTGAACCTCGGTCCAGTCCACCACTGCAGTAGGCACCTGTTGTGCACATTTGGCCTCAAGATCCTCTATCCTCTTCTCCCACTTGGCTTCCTTTGCCTGAAAGATATTCTGTTATACCTGCAAGTAGGTCCTCAGGGTGTCGTTGACTTTGTTGAGGGTCTGGTTGACCTGTCTGATGGCCTCGTTGCCTGCCCAGGCCTTCTCCATCTCAATCTTCACGGCATCCACTTCCTTGTTCTGCCTCTCCAACTCCTTCTTGAGATCATCAATTTCTTTCTGCCAGTCCATTCTCTGCTTACGAGACGCCCACGCCACCCTTGTCAACCTCTTCTCCATTTTTTCATCAGAAGTCTTGGCCACCGCAAAACCCTCCTTCATAAGGCCCTTCAGGCTAAGAAAGTCTGTAGAGACCATCTTAACCCCCATCTCCTGATGTTGTTCCCTGGGCCTCCCTGCTGCCTCCAACAACTTATCAAAGTTGTCCCACGCTTCCGTGAAAAGAGGAGTCTCATCGTCTTGAGTGGGTGAGCCATTCCCCTTTTTGTCTTCTAGTATCACAGGCTGCTCTCCCTGCTCAACCTTCTCGTGCAGCTCCGCAATRTTCTTGAGTCTGATTTTTACTCTGATCTCTCTCTCTATTGCTGCTCTCTCCTTTCTGTCTTGTTTCTTCTCCCTTGCAGCCTGGTCCTCACTCTGCTCCTGTCCATGTGGCTCTTGAGGTAGTTATGGCCCTTTGTCTGCCATAGGGCAGCCCTGAGCAGGCTGAGGGGGCGCATCTGATCCACCTGATGGTCCTCCCCTCTGGGTCCTTTATGCATCCTGCCTCTCTGTCTGCTGTGTCCAGTCAGCATGTTGTTCCTCTCTCCTTTGAACCCTCTCAGCATGCTGCTCCTCTCCTCTCTCCTGCCTGTGGGACCTGTGCTCTTTCCACTGTCCATCCCTTTGAGTGCCTAAGGTCATGCCGACTCAAAAGTCCTCCTCTCTGTGACCTCTGGCTCCTTCCTCTTCTTCTCCATACTCCTTCTCTCCTCTGTCTGGCGTGTGGGAGTATAGTAGCTCCTCAGTAACCGCCTGCAATCTCCCCAATGCAACGCTCTTTCCACAATGTTCCTGACGAACATCCTGATAGGCCTCCTCACGAACTGGAGGAACCCTCTCACTTTGGTCTTAGGTGCAATGTTCTGCTCGTCTGCAAACCGGTCATAAGCCCACAAGAACTCATCCAGGTTCGTTCCATCGAACCGGATTGGCACTCCATCTCTCCCCACAGGCGATGGATGTATCCCTTCCATCTTCCTTTCGAACTCCTGCCAGGTCACTGACTCCCGTACATATCTGGCAATGGCCTCAGCCCACTCGCCCCCTCCTCGTACCTTTCTCAGCATCCTGGCTCCATCCCATCTGAACTTGTTGGCATGCTTCTCGAACTCGACAAAAAACAACTCCACGTTCCCTCCTCTAAAAGATGGGTGGCCTGTCCTCTTTCCTGGTCCATCCCTGCATTCTCTGTCTGGCTGCCTCCTGAGGGGGTTCCACTGGCCTTGCCCCTCCCTCCCTCTTGGCATGGCTTCGCCAAATGGTGTCAAGCCTGCACAACAAGGAAGAGACAAGTCAAAGCACACAGAGTGTAAGCAGGTTCGGCACACAGTGAGAGACAGACACATCCCCCCCCATCTAACCTAGACGCCTATACAGGCATACACATACATACCTACACATACATACGTACTATCATAACCCATCATATCATTCTAATGAACGTCCATACAATCTTTCTGTACTGATACCCCCATCAGAAAGACATACTTAACAAGAGAAAGAGACTCTAGCTTGTAAGGTCCAGACTCACCTCGTCTCGAGCGACAAACTTCTTCAACCTCGAGTCTGRCACCCAGTCCTTCCAAGCGGTCCCATTCAGCTCCTCGATTTGGTATGCGCCATGTTCTCCACACCTGGCGACCCTGTATGGTCCTAACCATCTCTTATCCAATTTCCTCGACCATTGCTTCTCCAAGGACGAGTCGTACAGTAGCACGGTGTCTCCCACCTTAAGAGGTTCCTTCCTTACTCGTGCCAACTGGTCCCACCTGAACTTGTCCTTGGTTCGACTGTCAGCCACCCTACTTGCCGCTTCCTGTACCTTATCTTTTATGGCTCCAATTTGACGTGCCCTTAGATCAAGCAAGTCCTCAAAAGACAAGTTTATCTTGAGGTTTTGTCGCCTCCAAGTCTTTAGGAAACTTTCTATAGGGAACGTCGCATGTCTGCCATACCATAATGTAGCTGGCGCRTAGTTGGTACTCCTTCTGACAGTGATATTYTCCACGAAGAAAGCAACCCTCAGGAAAGYTGGCCACTGATTAGGTCTGCCATCTGTCCATTTTGTGAGAAGATTTGTAATGGTACTGTGCCYTCTTTCTACCGGTGCATTAGTCTGAGGGTGCGCCGCAGTCGTATACTCGGCGATCACACCATACCCTTTCAGCAACGCTTTCACTTCGGCACAGGTGAATTCGGACCCCCYGTCYATTACGAACCTTRAGACGAAAGGATAGCGAAGGTAGTACTCTTCAATGCATCGAGCTAGTACCTCTCCAGTCTTCGTGCGAATAACCTTGCCATCAACAAACCCTRAGAGATTGTCTCGTGCATCAAAGATATAGTTAAACCCTCCTATTCCCAGAGRCATCGCTAATAGATCCAGATGAACGACTGCTCCGACCTCACATATATATCTAGGGTGAAGCRGTTCCYTAGGTCTTAGCGAAGACYGCTCCTKACATGGTATGCAAGATTTACAATATTTRTCGATCATGTGTCCCATGCTATCCCAATAATATAGTTCGTGAAWCTTTAAGTATGTTGCATCTGTRCTYSTATGGCCATCAKTCGTTCCATCATGAAGGGCAGCTATGACGTCAATCTGTCGATTTATCCCACAGACTACCCTTCTGGGATTCTTTCCTTTATTTCTCATGAATAGATGACCGCCMCTCACTAGAAAATTCGGTCGCATCTTAAGGACTMTTTCGTTAACATCTCTTTCTCTTGTTTCACATGACAGGAGCATTCCCAATTCCAGATATACTCCGTCGTATTCTTCTGCGCGAAAGGCCTCTTTTATCTCACCTTCTTCAAAATCATCGTCCTCTCCTTCATGAATCACGTTCTCCTCTCTATCTTGCCTCTCTTCTTCAATCCTAGCAACCTCTTCTTGGAGCAACGAGTTTGCCAACACGTACATTCCACCTACCAATCGTTCATCCTTTTCTACCTGCTGGGGTCCGGTCTCCAATGTGACCAAGTCTTCCCGCAGCTGGTACTTATCCGCCAAGGCCAACTCCATCATCCACTCCAGTTCAGGCATTCCCCAAGAATCTTCCTCAATATAAGGTTTGGGGACTATATCCGGCCGCCGCACATGACCCGGAGGTGCGAGCCATACAGGTCGTCCAGGAGTAACATAGTTACCTATAGCCAATGACCAGGAGTTAATGTGGAGTTTAACGTCCTCTTCCTTGTCCAGGAAACCGTCGACCAGCGGAGTATCTTCAATCACCCCTTTGTTGCTCTTGTCCCAGTCGACGCGACTTAACCCATCTGCCCTATTCTTGTTCCCAGGAATACGCTCAAATTCGAAGTCAAACGTTTAGATGTACGTCAACCACCTGGCAATGGTTGGATCTGAAGGAGCGAAGTTCTTAAGGGAACCAGCTAGAGCCGTTGGGTCCACCCTCAACATAAACCTGCTGCCAAAGAGGTAGTTTCTGAAAATCCTCAAGCAGTGGTCTCGCGCTTAAACTGGGAGTAATTCCTCTCAGTTGTGTTAAGCGTTCGACTTTCAATCTCCATTGAGGTCTCGCTGGATCAGTACTCCTCCCAGGGCAGTCGGCCCTGCGTCCGTTTCTATGATAAAAGGTCTGGTCATCACAGCCGCATGGTCTGGTACCCCCAGTACCAGACCCCCTTCCTCAAACTCTTTCTTCAGAGCCTCTATTACTGACTCCTGCTTGTCTCCCCATTCCCAATCCTGACCTTGGCGCACAAGCTTTCGCAACTGCTCTGTCTTTGCCGCAAACCCTTTGATGAACACTCTCCAAAACCCACATGTTCCCAGGAAGCTCCTTACCTCTGTCATTGTCTCGAATGGTGTTGGTCATTCGAGAATCTTGTTCGTTTTCTTAGTGTCTGGCCGACGACCCCTCTCGTCGCCCACAAACCCAAAGATTGTTGCTCCACGCATACAATGCCTGGACTTTGTTCCGCTTGCAGTGAGGTTATGCTCTTTTAGCAAGTCTAGGACTTTACAAAGATTTTGCACATGATCCCAGACAAATTGCTTAATCCCAGGCATCACCTCCCTCTCATCCTTCTCGTTTGGCCCTTTCACAGCCAGATCGTCGATGTAAGGTTGTGTAATGTGATGACTTACTGGTTGCATTGCCCTCACCATGTGTCTCTGGACCATGGCAACCGCGTTCGTCCACCCTTGCGGTGCGACATTCATGTGAATCAGCCCTYGACGGGTATGCATTGCAGTCATTGGTCTGTCCGAAGGGTAAAYAGGAAACTGGTCATAACCAGAATACAAGTCTATGAGMGATATTATGGATCTTCCTGCGCATGCCTCTGAAAGCGCATCAGCRTTAGGGAGACCCCCWGCATCTCTYACTGTTACAGCATTCAAGCGCTKCAAATCCTGTACCCATCTSAGTGTCCCATTTGGTTTGACAAAGCAAAACCAAGGGGATGCAWATGGTCCACTCGAGTAGTCTGAGACATGAGTGCGGATCTTCCCGTCAAGATAATTTACCAYTTTTTCTTCGTCARCCGGGTTCGGGTATCRCGCACCTCGCAGATTTCATGGTTCATGTGGCACGTTATGTATCCGAATCATCGGAATCTTGTCAACATCCAGGCGGCCACGTTCGTCATCATTGAAGGCATAGGCAGTATGCCTTCCTCTCATGGTCTYTACCATCAAYTGCCTCTCCTGCGCTGTAAGGAAATCTGGTTCSCCTATTATCAGCGCCTCTTCCGTTTCTTGATTGATACGAYATGGTCCATTCTCCACATTTTCYCGCATCTGCCGTATCAACTCTCGTTCCCACTCGTAATAAATTTTTTGTTCCTCAATCACGAGCACAGGAACAGGGCGGCATTTTTGATCTACTCTTTTGTACCGCCTTTGTGACCCTTGCTCGAGCCCACCCCTAAAAAAGGCCGAGTTGCACTCAGGGGTTGGGCTCCTGCCGATCCTCCTCTCTTTCCGRGCGTCCGATATACCTGYTCCACCTCTCCTTCACCSATTTGTTCCATCACCTTTTATCTCAAGGCCTCTACGGCCTCCGGGTCCGCCATCCCATAGGTTRACACTATGTCCATAGCATCGCCTATATTGGTCAGGCTAAGAGTCAGTGCTTCCGGATTYSTTTCTTTTTCAAACTCATCTCCCCCTAGCCTCTTCCTTTCTTCTTCCGATTCCTCAATCGTGAAAGAACCAGGATTGGGCCTATTCCTTATACTTTGTGGCCTCGTATTTCTACATGTAATAACCTCATAGTTGCCACATACCGGGTCACATAAGACAARGAACATCGTCCCATCATGCTTATTCWGTATGACGGTCTCCGTTCGGCTCAGGATAGATYGGCCCAATAGGATGGGATGATCGAGATCGAGCATTACAAAGAAACAGCTTCTCAATTTAACCTTGCCAATCTCCAAAACCACTCTCGATGCGGTCCCTATGAACATAGACCGACTATTCGCTCCCATTAAAACTCCATTATCGGAGTGATCAATCCCCATCCCCAAATGCAAAGCATGCTCCTCTTTTATGAGGTTCATTTCCGCCCCAGTATCCACCATTGCCGTGCACGTTTTTCCTTTTACTACTACGTCCAAGCATCCACATGCGACGGACTTTCAATCCATCTTCGTACCTGTCTCTGCCCATTCCGCTTCCTTGGGAATTATGGCCCTCAATCGCACGCTGGCTACCATCTTCCTGGATAATCGAGTTTTAAGCTCGTCCCGGAACCTTGGAGCTGAAGTCAACACATCCTTCAGATTCATAAGATGATTATGACCCTCAAGGATTCTATCCATCATTTCCTCTACATCATAGTCTTCTTCTACCCGGACAACATACTTCCTTTTCTTCCCCTCCGGGACTCTCTCCACGTCTGCCTTAACATCCCTCTTCTTTGCTCTTAGCTCGGTCCTCTTACCCTCTTCTCTCCTTAACCTCTCATCTCTCTCATCCTCATCCTGTGGGATGTCTACTGTCTCTTTTTCCCCACTAGGCTCAGGAACGTCCTTTGCCGGCTCATTGGGGCTTACCGGCCCCTTGGCCCTTGTCCTGACGGCCTGTGGCGCTCCTCCTGACCTTGATGGTGGCCTATAAGCCATTCCGGACCGAGGCGTTGGTCTCGAAATCGTTACGCCTGGTAGGCTCCAAGACCCTCCTTGCGGTCTTGGACCCATATCGTAGAGATATACCAGTGGTTTTTTATCTTTCCACTCCTTGACCTCTTCACACATGTTGGTCAATTTGTCTTGATACCTTCTCATCTTTGCCACTAGATCCTCCATTATTTCCATCGTTCTCCGGGCCGCATTCCAGTAACCCCTTTCTATCTCCTCGTCAGATTCTACCACAATAGGTTCTTCCTTGACCGTACCTGCTTTCCTTTCCTGCTTTACTTCCTTATTCTCTCCTATCTCTTCAACCCTTACATCAGGACGGACATCCTCCTCTTGCCAGATTCGAAACATGGCCAGAGGAGAGGGCGGCTCGCCGGCCTCGACTCGTCTCAAGGCCTCCTTTCTCGACCCACCAGGGATCTCTACGTCAATGTAGTATCCAAACTTATCATACATGTCACCGTCGTAGTTGGTACTAATCAGCCCTTCATCTTCATCGTTCCTTCGGACATGGCATAACTTGATGGTGTGACCCTTCTGCCCACAATGCCAGCAAATGACATTCCTCAAGTCTATCCGTCCTCTACCAAAACCTCACCCGCCGTCCTGACTATTCTGATTTCCAGACGCATTCCAATCCCCATTTCCTCCTCCACCGGAATTGTCACCCCCATTTCCTCTTCCACTGGAATTGCCACCCCCATTTCCTCTTCCACTGGAATTGTCACCCCCATTTTCTCTTCCATTTCCCCGGCCGCCATTTCCTCGCCCTCGGCCCCATCCTTGGTTTTGTCGGCGTCCGCCGTCTTGAATTCCCTGCGACCCCTATGGTGCCGGCTGTTGAGGTTGGCTTGGCTGGGGGCTCGGGTGGCTTACTTGTTGAGTCTGGGGTCCTGGACACCCGCAGGAAGCCGCGCTCAGCGGCGCTCCCGCGCATGATCCATGTGGTCCACTCATCGGCCATGGTACGTATGAACAGTGCCCAGGCCAAGGACTGGGAGGTCCATAACCCGGCCACGGCCCATAGGGTGTTGGCGCGGCCTGGCCATGCGACTCCGGGGGAGGCAGTGCTGTTGCCTGCGGAGTCTGTCATCTTCCTGAGCCTTGTCCGCCTTGCCCCAGATTTTTGGCCTTCCTTTGTGTTTTTGTTAACTTTAGAGGTTTGGGTTCTTCTTCTTCTTCTTCTTCTTCTTCCTCCTCTTGCACCACCGCCTTCTTCGCCTTTCCCTGAGTCTGCGGTGCCGCCATAGCCTTTCTTGCTGCCT